ATTATACTACCACTCACTAGCTGCACAGCGATCAGCTTCTATCGGAATATTTGCCCAACCTCTATCTGCTGCTTTCAGTTCACAACTTGATTTCTTAGGTCCACTAAGGACGCAGATCATGCAGAGGAGGAAGCCTGCTGACGCATGTCCCAACATTTCTAGTCATGAAAGGGTCAGTGTCCAGAGGTGATGCAGCCAGCTACCGTAGGTCTTGATGCTTCTCTAGCTGCTAGTAAAGTTTTCCATTTCTCTAGGAATTGGTGGGCTGAAGATTTTAAAAAACAATCTTTCTTGCATGAACTAGGCTTTCATCAAAATTCAGTGCAACTCGGATTCATTTCCATTTCTAGTCCCAATGCTGCCCACAACTAACTGAGCATGACGGATGAGCTGGCTAACACTCTGGAAGTGAAAACTATCTTTCTACCCATCGAACCATCTGTCTAGCATGATTTGATTTGAGTGCCTTCACCCTATTGTTGTAGCACATCCTTCAGTCTTGCTTGCCCTCACATCATAGTAATATGGTATTTTATCAATATTTTCCTTCAATCTTAAACTGTCATATACCTTTTGGCAAACTCATATTTTACTAACTAGTAGGAATCACGAACTTTTCTATAAATTAGCCTTTCTCTCATAAGCACATGGCAAGGCATTAGAAGCAGGCTACATTCATCACTCCAGTAGCAGCAGAGCAAGCAGGTCCTAGTTCTCCCTGAAAACAAATACTGAACACGGTCATTTTAACAGCCATAATGATCTCAAAACTCAAGGCATTTGCAGAACATATGCATTTGCAGATTTGCCTATTACACTCAAATATCATCTCTAACTCTGTTTTTGAATGAAGATGACTTAATACAGTCACGTAGAAGGCATTTTTGTAACACCCAAGGCACTTTAGTCATCTATATTTTTCTCTTAAGTATACACACACATATTTGCACATTTGCTTTCCCCTATCAAAAAAAAGTGCAAGGGAAGCCATATTAGGAACAATGGATGTGGGAATTCCTTGAATCAAAATTGCATACACAAGGAAATTGACTGATGGTATATCTCTGTGGACCTAACTGTCCCTGGGTGATGCAAATGGTCAACACTCTCAGCTTCTAACCAAAAGGTTGGAGATTCAAATCCAACCAGTAGTGTCTCATAATAAACAATTGGTGATGTACTTGAGAAAAAAAAAACCAACCTTAGACATTCAAAACTCAATAGTACACAGTTCTCTGGTGACCACAAGTCAGAATTGACTCCAAAGCTACTGACTTTCTTTTTTTTAATTTACTTGTTTGCTATTTTTAATAATTAAATCATTTTCTTGAGGGCTTGTACAACTTTTGTCACAATCCACACATACACCCATTGTGTCAAGCACTTTTGTACATTTGTTTTCCTCATCATGCTCAAAACATTTGCTTTCTACTTGAGCCCTTGCTATCAGCTCCTTACTTTTTCCCCTCTCTCCCTGCTCCCTCCTCCCCCATAAACCCTCAGTATTTTATAACATTATTATTTTGTCATATCTTACACCTTCCAACATCTCCCTTCACCCACTTTTCCACTGTCCGTCCCCCAAGGAGGAGGTTATTTGTAGATCCTTGTAATCTGTTCCCCCCTTTCTCCCTCACCTTCCCTCCACCCTCCCAGTATTGCCACTCTCACCACTGGTCCTGAGGGGTTCATCTGTCCTGGATTCCCTGAATTTCCAGTTCCTATCTGTACCAGTGTACATTCTCTGGTCCAGCTGGATTTGTAAGGTAGAATTGGGATCATGATAGTGGGCGGGAGGGGGGGAAGCATTCAAGAACTGGAGGAAAATTGTATGTTTCATCATTGCTACACTGCACCCTGACTGGCTCATCTCCTCCCCATGGCCCTTCTGCAAGGGGATGTCCAATTGCCCACAGATGGGCCCTGAGCCTACCATTTTTTAATGTTATGTTCTGTGGTAGACAGATAATAAAAACCTAAGAGCTTTGTACCAGTGACTAGGATTAGTGTTCCAGTCTGTATAACAGTCGATGGTAAATCTTGCTTAGAGAATCCAATATGGTACCTTTAGTAGGGTAGGCATGGTGGGAGGGGTCATGAGAGGTGAGAGAAGAGGGGGTGAGAGTTAGAAAAAAGAAAGAAGGTACTGTGTTTTACTGTGCTAGAAAATGTACAGATCTCATCTAAGCTTTGCTTAAATTCTATAAGGAATGTACCATTAATATTACTTCCCAGGGCCTCATGTCCAGAAAGTAGTGGAACTAGGGTTTGAACCCAGCTCTGCTAGCTCCACAGCCTACTGTACCATCCACATTATATGGGTAATGGGTGTATTGATTTAAGACATTGAAACCCAGAAGTTTATGTTACCTTCTCATTGGTAGGGTCTGATCTCCAATCTGTTATATACAAGGGGTTACCCAAAAGACCCTGGAATTGCACTGGGCAGATAAGAGCTATTGTAGTACATATTTTTCCTACTAGGCATGCATTGAGCAACTCGTCTGAGTTAATGCACCCAGTGGTGTCGCCTGGGGTTCTCTCTGGTTATAGTGATTTTTTCGTAAGAGCAGTTTCGCTAGAACCTTGTTTTTTTGTGATGGCAGATCGAAGTGAATAGTGTGCAACTGTGAATTTTTGTTTCCTGCTCAGGAAAAAATGTCAAAGACAGTGTTGTGATGTTGAACACAGTTTACCAGCCAGCACTGCGGGAAAAACTCAAGTGCTTGAGTGGTTTTCTCATTTCAAAGAGGGTGAAATGTCAATAGATAAAGAACCTTGTTCTGGACATCCTACAACTTCCTGAACAGGACAAAAATGTCGACTCCTCGTGCTCTTGGAGTTCATTCTACTAGGTCAGACTGTTAATCAAGCTTTCTATTTAGAAGTTCTGAAAAGATAGCGCATCAGTATGCAACCCAAAAGGCCTTGTTTGTGGCAGACGGGGTACTGGTTTTGCCCCCACAACAATGAACCTGCTCACACAACCATCTCAGTACACCAGTTTTGGGGGAAAAAAACCAGCAGCCCTCTCTTGCCCCAAGCACCTTACTCACTTATCCTCACTCCACGCGACTTCTTTTTGTTTCTGCGAATGAAGAGGGACAACGTGAAAGGAAAGATTTGATGACATCGAAGAGGTGAAGGAAAAAACGAGGGAGGTGCTTTCAGCCATCCAAACAGATGAGTTTGAAAAATGTTTCCAAGAACGGGATCACAGATTTGACAAAATGCATTAAGTGCAATGGAGAGTACTTTGAAGGTGATAAAGTTGTTTTGTTAAAAAAAAAAAATCTGAATACATAGCTTCAACCCAAAAAAAATTCTGGATTTTTTGGGGTGGTGGTATCCCCACATATTCATTTATTTGAGGAACCATTGTGATGTAGTGGTGTAGCATATTGTCAGCAACCTATGGCTGCTCCTTGAAAGGTCAGCAGTTTTAATCTTCCAACCACTTCGTGGGACAAAGATGAGGCTTTCTGTTCCCAGTAAAGATTTACCACGTCAGAAACCCACAGGGGCAGTTCTACTCTGTCCTATCGGATTGCGATGAAAAGGAATGGGCTGAATGGCAGTGAGTTTTGAGAGCTTACTCATTTATCTATTTCTTGAAGATCTGGTACAAGATTCAAAAGATGTAAAGCGTTATAGGATTAAACGTAAATTGCCCATCCTCCCTTACTCTCAGATACCCAATTCCTTTTCCTAAAATGTTCATCTCTTATTCCTTTATACCCCAAGGAAAATAAGAGCAACCTGCCTGGCCAGGAAGCCTCAGAGACAGTATTTTGGATGGAATTAGGATGACTTCCCCTCATACTTAGCCACTGAGCATCAAGTAGGCAAAATTAACCTTAAACCTCATTTTGTTGTCTCGGGAGGTCCTTCTAACCATTCCTCTACTGTCCTGCTCACCCTGACCTGTCCCTCCCTAGGAAGAATGATCAGCTTCAAATAACTTGTATTACAATCCTTGGAACCTTACATGTTGTTCCCCAAGGGGATGTCTTGACTGAGAAATTAATCCCCACTGAGGAATTCATAAGTGTCTGCGAATTGATGGGCTATCCTTTTCACAAAACATGTTTACACTTTAATTAGGGGCTTCAATCAAAGGAGTGACTTGAATGATAGGGATTCAGGGGGCTTTGTCATGACAGGCCAATAGGACAGAGACTGTTTTTCCCAAAAGTATGGACTTGTGGCTTTTCCTATCTACTTCCCTTTCATCATCCGACCAACTGGGAGCTCTGCACGTCGGCCACCTGCAACTGTTTGGCTCCCAAGGCAGTTAGTGCCCTAGTCTTGTCGTCTTCCTTTTAGGATGTGGACACCTGAAGTGTTTCTTTCGTTTTGTTTTATAATAATATTTTACTGAATTTTCGGTGACGATTTACATAGCCATTTGGGTTCCCAACAATTTCTACACAAGCTCTTCAGTGACACTGTTTACATTCTACACGCTGTTTCCATTCTGGTTGTCACAGGTTGTGCTTGCATTCTGGTTTTTGTTTTGAATTAATTGGTGACCATTTGGTTTCACATAGGGAATTCTCTAAAGGAGCACCTGTACTTACAGATGACACTCATTGTTTCTGGTAGCCAGTTTGTTACTTAGCTACAGGGGGACCTCAGGGATTAGTTTGGGTTCAAGGTTTGAAGAGTATCTCAGAGGAAGAGTCTCAGGGTCTCCTCTAATTACAAACAGTCCAACAGGACTGAGCTCTTGATTTGGGGGTCATTGTTGTTGTTTGTACAGTTGGTGGTGGTAGCCAGACACCACCAAGTTCTGATCTCAGAGCAAATCAGGCCATGGTTCCTGTAGACTACTTACCCTGTAGACTGGTTTCTGACAGAGTTTTTGAAACATTGCATCTACCATGCTCCAAACATTTCTCTCTTGAAAATAAGTAAACACTCAACTCCTCTAAAAGAAGAAACTACATCAAGAAATGAGACTATTATGGCTTTAATATTCATTATCTGATATCTCATTTTGCCCCTTCCAAATTAATACTTAGAATAGGAAGCTGGCTCAGTTTACTTCACAAATTTGATTTTTTTCCCCCAACTGGGAAGGTCAGTGGTATTTCTGCTGGGATTTATTGAAGAAATCTTTGTTTGTGAATGGAATTCACTTTGATTTCCATGGGCAATATTCTTCTCACACAGTTAGGCACAGTTTCACAACCCAAGGAAGAAAAACAACAGGAATCTTCATCAAAGCCATCTGCATCAAAGGAGAAAGAAAGAACATTTTCAGCTGTGGCATCAGGGACTTTGCACATAGAAGAAATATACGAAAATCGTATTGAATGGAGGAATAAAGAAAGGATTACGGAAGGGGGTGAAGGTTGTAGGGCTTTCCTTGGATAGTTTCATATAGATTCAAGGTGAATTAATTCATCCAGACAGCGCGGCTTCGGCCATCACAAATGTACATTTATTCTTCGTGCATTGTGAATAGCAGGTAGTGGATTATAAGAACCTTCGCCAAGGGGAGGTATGGACAAATCTTGGAAGCCTCCAGGAAGCAACACCATAAAATGGGAACATCTATATCCTCGATGAATTTGATGTTCTGGCTCTGAAAGTTTGGCTATTTCTCAAATCTGAGAGTGCCTAATAGTACAAAGAGTGCTATGGTTTTCAGTGTACTAATAAAGTAATTGCGCTTTTGGCCAGGACAAATTTAATGGCAGCATCTAGATTGTCATTTGAAAACCCGAGAGCCAAGAAACTGTCCCAGTGGCTGAGTTACTGTCCCAGTGACTGAGCATCTCGATGCAGGCCCCAAGCTCCTTGACTTTCCAGATCTAATGCTTGGTACAACATTAAAACCCCAGACACAGTAAGAAGAACGTACACGTTTAGACTGTGCATTTGGTAATGAAACAATGTCCCCCATGAATAGCAGGTGAGCTAATACTCACTGACCTTTTTTCAAAAAGCCTCTTTTCCACTAGCCTCAGCTGTGATCTATTAAGTAGATGACACACCCCATGCGCTCCAGGTGCTTGAGCTCTTTTGTGCCTCCATATGAGCACCAGATCATATCTGCAGGTTAGCTGGACTCTGGGGGCCCTGAAAACTGTTCTGTAATGTGAACAACTAATTATCCCATCCAGAGGTGGAAACTGAGAATCCACATGAGTCAGCCACCCTAAACCAGCAAACGGTGTTGTCCCATGCCATCCTGATGTTGGCAGACACTTTGGAAATGCTCCAGTCTAACCCACTTATGCTGAAAGTAGGACAAATGAATGCAGTTCCAAGTGGGGAAGTGATGTGGTGCTTGGGACCAAGGCCTCAGTCACTGACAGAGGTGGAACTCGAGACAAAAGTTTTTAATTCTAAGATCACTGCTTTTTTCTGTCCACCATGTTGCTTCTGAGTAGACTGAAGTCCTTGGGAAATATTTTTTTGTTTTAGCAAACACAGTGAAAAATGCACACAGCCAAGGCAGATCTACCACCAGCAGGGAAAAGGTGAGAAATTGACTACAGTCAGGCTACCAAAGGTGTTCTGTGTGCATGAACTAGAACTTACTATGGTCTTTAAGAAAGACAACCGAAGTCTACAGCACCATCACATAATTGGAAACACGGAACTATCTGAAAATATTGATTAATTCCTTGCTCACTCTGTCTCTTTAGGCCAAATTTTTCTATCCACTTTCCCTCCTACTACCCCATCCTCACCTCAACATCTGTATCTGCCTTTAGAAGTATGGCTTCCTATAAAATAAGGTAGCATCTAAAAACAGTATGTAGCTTTAAGGGTGCAATAAGCATTAGCTTGGAAGGCAGGAGGCCGGAGTTTTGGCCCCAGTTCCACTGCCGATGGACTGACTGCCTACTGTAGTTACATAATTTTATGTCAACTTGAAGATATATAAAAGGGTAGGGGTGATATCCAACCTGTCAGTCAGATCACAGCCTGATGGTGCCTCCCTGTGGGCGTGGCCTTCATATAAGGAGGGCCCAGAGAACTTTCCCCTCTCTCTCGGCCTTCACCTTCCTGCTTGAGAGCTGCCAGAATCCTGCCGTTTCCATCCACTATGGAGCTACATGACTCTGCACCCACGGGCCAGTGTTCTCCCTGCATTCTGCATCATTGCATGTGACTGCGTGAGTCTGAAGAGGGACTTATGGACTAGTTTAGGACTTAAGGACCTGAGTGGAACTAGGATGGGAGGTTTTCCTGATATACAATTACTTCTTGATAGAAAGCTTGTTCTTATACATCTATGAACATCACTGGTTTTGTTTCTCTAGTCATTTTTATATAAGTCATTTTTATATTTCCTGCTTAAGTCTTACCATATGGAAAATTAGGACATTAAAATAGACAATGTCTGATATGCCTTTTGGTTTGAACCGAACCAAACTAAACCTGTTGCTGTAGAATTGATGACAACTGATGGCAACCCCATATGCTTCAGAGTAGAATTGAGCTCTATAAGGTGTTTGTGGCTTTAACATTTATGGAAACAGAACACTAGGTCTGTCATCCAAAGCACTGCTGAATGCGTTCAAACCTCCAGCCATTTAGTTAGTGCCTGAGCACAAACCATTAGCACTATCTGTGACCGTTGGTTCTAATAGCTTGATAAATTATTTTAAATTGTTCATCCATTTTTGACATCTAATCTCGTCTCACTCCCATTGGAAAATTCACTAGGTGTCTCTAAATACACCATCTCCAAGAATGGGCCCAAGTATATCCATCCACAAGTCATTCAGTTTTGAGGAAGAAGAATTATCCAAGTTCAGGTACATCACCTCACATTAATTCTGTATCTCTGAAATATCAGTGTAAATGGCTAGCCTTTTTATTTACTCACCATTGGGAAAGCTTATGTCTGAAGGAGTGCCTTGTGTGGAGCCCCCAAATTTGAAAGTGGAATTAGTTGTTGTTGACTTGAGGGATGGTGTCAGCAATTTGTGTTCAAAGTTTTTCTTCAGTCTCTCCTGTTTATAGACAACCTTCAGCTCATATCTGCTGCTCACATCTGAAATGATACCCCAAAAGTTAAAATACAGAACTCACCAAAGTGTACAGTTAAAATGAATGAATTTCATGGTCTGTACATTGTACCTAATAGTGCTAATAAATTATGCTGATAAAGCTCAATGTACATAGTTTATTCTGAGTACTTCCAGGATTCTGATGTTCTATGAAGGAAGTGTGTACTGTAATGTGTGGAACAGACAGAGCCAACTCACTTACCAAGGATGCCCACTTTCATTGGAGTCTAGCACAGGGGCCAGCAGGCTACTGGAATGCCCGACATACAGAAGGAGGAATCTTCGTGTTCCTTACAATATCTTAAGAGTTCAGGCACTAGTTTTTATAAAGGTTATAACTTACTGATACTGAGTTGATTCCAACTCATAGTGATTCTGACTCATAGCAACCTTAGAGGATAAAATAGAACTGCCCTTGTGGGGTTTCAGAGACTGCAACACTTTACAGGAGTAGAAAGCCCCACATCTGTATCCCTCAGAGCAGCTGGTGCTTTTGAACTACTGACCTTGCAGTTAGCAGCCCAGTGTGTAACCACTACTCCACCAAAGCTCCCAAAAGGATATAGACTGGGCTTTTTATTGTGACTGAGAGAAGATGCCTGAAACGAATGGAAGAGCCTTTTGATATGTAAAAAATCTGTTTGCTTGAAGTGAAGTTATCCTCAAGGAAAGTGCCAGCTTTAAGGCACAATATCAGAGTCCCCTACAACTCCCACTGTACAGGAAGGATCCCGGGTCCACCTTGGCATCCCACTCAGCCAGGTATCTTGGCAAGGCTGAGGCGTTCTCGCCATCTCCACCACCACTCCTTGTTGCCAGACACTGTAGGCTGCAGGCAGCAAGTCCCTGACACCTGGTGCCTAGCATACAGTCACTGAATAAAGACACAGATGACAGCCAGCACAATCACCCCAGAGATTTTGGCCTAGAAAAGAGCTTCACTTAATTTAAATATTGTCCCTGTCACATTTTTTTTTCTAACTTCATTCATCTCAGCACAAAAGTACAAAGAATTTTTATAACACGGAAACAGCCTTCAGTTTAATGCTGATGCTGTAGGAACTACAGTTAGGAGGCAAGTTGATTGGATCAGTTTTGTACACAACGCAAAATTCCAAGCCTTACCCAAAGTGGCATCTTACCAGAAGAGTTATCCATGTGAAACCACCTACAACCAAGGTGTATCTGCCACTGCTCCCGCACGCTCTCCTTCATCGCGCAGTGGAACACGAAAATGAGGAATCCTAAGCCAGGATAAAAAGTTGGTCTTTATCAGCTCCTTTCGCTAGCTGTCACCAATCCTCAGGTTCAGATATGCTCTTGCTACTGTAGATACTACCAACAAGAAACCTCAAGACTATTACTGGTTTTCTAATGTCATCTTTCTAGCCACTTTCCCAAAGCTGCGATTGCAAGAAGGCCTGTTATCAAGACTTTATGTCAGCCACATTCTCCTCCTGGGATGCTGTCCACCCTAGAGCATAAGATAGCAAGCCTATTATGGTAGCCCATCTCCAAGATGGCACTAGTGATTTCCCACATCCTGGCTGTCATATTCTCGTGTAGTCCTTTTTGTAGTACCAACAAAACTGGGCAGAAATGATGGTGTGCCACTTCCATGATTAGGTTATTTTTTTTTAAATGTTGGATTTACCTTGCTCTTTTTCCCCTCTCACTGACTCACTCTTTTGGATCATTCATTCTGGGGGAAGAAAAGTGTTATGCCTTGAAGCCACCCTGAGTGACAACCCTGTGCAGAAGCTGAGGTCTCTAGTCCCCAGTTGGGTAATGAGTGAGCTCTCTGGGAGGTAGAGGCTTCAGAGTGCTACAGCTCTAGCCAATAGTCTGACTACATGCAATTCACAAAAGACCCTGAGCTAGCCTACTCCTGAAATCACGAGCCTCAGAAATAGTGTGAGATACTACTGTTTTCTGGTTTAAGATGATCACATTTGGGTGCAGTATATTACAAAGTAATACATAACTAAAACACCTGCTTCGAGTCATGCTTCCACTGGATGGAAAGTTACACTGCAAACCCTGAGTTCATCCAGCATGTAGAAGGGAGGTGCTGAAGGTGATACTGGCTATTTTGCATCATTCACTCTTTAAAATCTCTCCTTGAAAGATAATGGATGGCTTATGATGACCGGGCTAATTTGGTTTCCTAAAGTTAGGAGTCGAGGGAGCAAAGCAACCCAAAGCACTTGCTACACAAGCTCTCATGGCCTTGTACAACTTTAGCAATACCTGTCGGCCCCTTGAGGAGGGCGTAGGATGCCTGGTAGGGCTTGATCAAAAGCAATGTAACTGATAGGAATTATTGAATCCCAAATGAAGGCCAAACATGATAGTGGGACAAGAGAAAAAGAAAAGGAAATAGAGAAAAGAACTAGGAGACAAAGAGCATTTATAGAGGTCTAAATACAGGCACCTAAACATATTTAGATGTAATGATAGGGAAATAGATTTATGCATATATTTTTATGTTAAGTATCAAGGTAACAGATGGACATTGAGCCTCTACTCAAGGACTCCCTCAATGCAAGAACAGTTTGTTCTAATAACCCAGCATTCTGTGATGCTCACCTTTCCAACACAATCGCTGAAGCTGAAATGGGTGCATAAGCAAATGTGGTGAAAAAAGCTGATGGTGCCCAACTATCAAAAGATATAGCATCTGGGGTCTTAAAGGCTTGAAGATAAACAAACAGACATTTAGCTGAGAAGCAACAAAGTCCACAGGGAAGAAGCACACCAGCCGGTGTGATCATGAGGTGTCGATGGGATCAGGTATGAGGCATCAAAGACCTAGAGCAAAATATCATATCAATGTGAATGAGGGGGGAGCGCAAGGTGGAAACCCAAAGCCCATCTGTAGACAATTAGACATCCCCTTATAGAAGGATCACAAGGAAGAGACGAGCCAGTCAGGGTGCAGTATAGTACCGATGAAACAAACAACTTTCCTCTAGTTCTTTAATGCTTCCTCCCTGCCACTATCATGATCCCAATTCTACCTTACAAATCCGGCTAGACTAGAGCATGTACAGATACAGATACGAGCTGGAAACACAGGGAATCCAGGACAAATAAGCCCCGCAGGACAAATAATGAGAATAGAGATAGCAGGAAGGTAAGGAGAAGGTGAGGGGTTAAAGGGGGAACCGATCACAATGATCTACATATAATCCACTTCCTGGGGAATGGACAATAGAAGAGTGGGTGAACAGAGACATCAGTCAGTGTAAAGCATGAAAAAATAATAATTCATAAATTATCAAGGGTTCATGAGGGAGGGAAGGTAGGGGAGGGAGGGGAAAAATGAGGAGCTCATTTTTACCTAGGGCTCAAGTAGAAAAAAATGTTTTGAAAATGATGATGGCAACCAATGCACAAATGTGCTTGACACAATGGATGGATGCATGGACTGTGATAAGAGCTGCATGAGCCCCCAATAAAATGATTAGAACAATAACAACAACAAAATATTTATTTTGGCCTAAGTGTAATTTGAAAACTTTTGTTCTCTATACAGGATTCCACTTACGTCTACGGTGACTGGTTATGGGAATGACACAGTGGGATTAAGCATTGAGCTGCTAACCGAAAGGTGGGCAATTCAAACTCATTACCATCTAATTGATTCTGACTCCTAGTGATTCTACAGCACTGGAAACTACGAAGCAGGTGTACTCTGTCCTATTGGCTCACTCTAAGTCAGAATCTACTAGACAGCAATGGGTTTTGGTGTGGATCACGCCAGTCTTAAATTTGTGCAAACTGAGCATGACTCAATAGAAAATGCCGTCAAAGCTCATTGTAACTAAGCTATTCGTGGAAGTAAAGAAGTTTGACTGATGTGGATGACAGTCTTCTGCTAGTCTGATTGTTTGACCAGACCTCCACCAGAACCATGTTCCATTTGGGATGCTGGATTTTAAGAGGAGGATGGCAAACAGAAGCATCCGAGGACAGTGATAGATTTGAGGGAAAGAGCTGGGAAGTTGTATCTGGATAAAAGAGAACTTGGAATGGAAAACACAAGGTGAGGAGAGATGGCAACTGTAGTCAGAGATTTGAAATGACTGTCAGGCGAAGGAGAAGTTGGCTTGTTTTGAGGGGTTACCAGTAGAACTAGAAGCAATGAGAGGACACCACAGACAATGAATTTTAGCCCATTGGAACTCATGGCAACCACAGAACAACTACATTATAACAAACCACAACTAATGTTTACTAAGAAATTGCTATATGATAGTTTTATTAGATCATTTTTATTTGACAGGTAAAAGACCTTGGAGTTCATACCTGGTCAATCTGACACAGTGAGTGGAGACCTGAAGAGCTCATAAGGAGTTGCTGGTGTCAGGGCAGACTTAAGATCTAAGTCCAAGGCTCAACCATTGCACACCATTGATCGCCACTAAGAATCAGAGCTGATTAGCAGTTTAATGTTCAGCTATATGCGAGTTCTCTGTCCCAGGAAAGTTTCAGAGAGGTCAGTGACTTCCTGGCACTGCATGGGGAGTTTGACTCAAGCTCTCTGATGCCAGCCCTGACTCTGGGATTCCAGGCGGGTGGCAACAGGCTGAATGAGTTGTTTCATTAACTCCCTTAAGGGTTTTCTCACCATTTGCCACCAAACAACTGTGGTGACAAACTCCGCAGTAGTCACTCTTTCTCTGAGCGGCAGCCACCTGGAAAGTGGTGCATGCAGCCCCTCGTTATGAGCAAAGCTCTGGGTCAGAGCAGGTCAAGTCCTCCACCAGTGACCTCAAGCACTTTCCCCGCCTCTGATCTTCAGCGTGGAGTTTAGTTAGTTCACTGACAGAAAGATTATTCTGTGAATTCCAATGAGTTGCCTGACAGCTCTCCTTTTTCTTGCCAATAACACATTGATTTGCTTACTCACTAGAACAGAGGCATGAAGGAAGATGTCACTTGCATTTTTATTTGTGCATCCTTCTTTTACGAGCATAATTTCATTCACCCCTGACCCCTGGGTAACCCCCCTCACCAGACTTGAGAGCTTGCCATCTATCTTTTAAATGGTAAATTTGGTCATTACTCCACTGTGTTCTTGTTTTGAGGTTATTTGGGTCATGTGGATGGATTTGTCTGTGTGTGTGGTGTATAGGTATGGTATGGCGTGGTGTCTGGGAGTATGGCAGTATTGTGTGTGTGTGTGTGTGTGTGTGTGTGTGTGTGTGTGTGTGTGTAACTTGAGTTTAAAACTCAGGACTCTGAAAACTCTCTCTCCGTAACATGGCATGACATACTATCTTATAGTCAAGACTAGAAACGCTTGGTGATTGATTGACATCACACATGCCCCCACAGTTTGGCTTTGTTGATGCTAGATCTACCAAACAACAGTTTTAATCTTCCCTCTTACTTCCACCCACGTCGGCTACTTGCTTAGATACCCGTTCTCTTCCACTGGAGGAATGGAACATGCTCATTATTTTGCAAAAAGAAGCCTGGTGTTGCTGCTGAGGAAGAACTTTGCACAGGCGTGTGGTTCCTGGTCCACCTCTGTGAGCCATTCCTATACCAAGGTTGGTTAGCTTTGGAAGTAAGAACCTGAGGCTCTAACTATAGTATTTCCGCGCAGGCCAAGAAGAAAAGTACAGAACTATCCCCAGAACGTCGTCAGGCAGCAAGCTAGGATACAACCAAGCACTGCTAGCCGCAAAGGAGCCAAAGGAGAGTGGGATGGAGCATTCCTAACTACCATAGGGACAATAGAAATAGCACATGGAGAAATAACATATTTTGCGGGGGGTGGGGGTGGGTGGGGGTGACGTTCCAATCAGAATACGGCTGTATAGAGTTGATAGAATCTGGTAGGACTGCAGATTTCAGTTGGTCCACTTCATTGCTCTAACATGAGATTGTTTCTTTAGTCATAAAACATGAAAGCCAACTATACCTTATAGAGATGACTTTCCCTCACTCCAGTGCTCCACAATTGCCTGGCATATAATAAATGCATAACAATTCATTTTTCCCAAGGCACCTCAGGGTTAACCACCACAATGAAAAGGGGTTATGAGATCTTAAAAATACTGGGTTGAAACAACATTTTTCCCTAGCAGAATTTCTGAGATTTTATGCCATTCCTAGAATAAGGGTGTGGTAGTTACATAATCTGTTGTCAATTTGAGATTTAAGAGTGAAGGAGTGGAATTTAGCCTGTCAATCAGGTTGCAGCTTGATGACCTCATTTGGAGGTGCTAAGGAGATAAACAGCTCACTGGAGGCAGAAGAGAGATTCACTCCCTGTGAGGCATGCTTGCTAGCAAAACACATGGAGCTGTGCTACAGCCCTGGTGCTGAAGGAGCCACATGGAGACCCCTGCCAGCGCTGAGAGGCTTCCACTGCCACTGGATCCACAAGACTTTCCACCCACTGGACTGTGATCTTCCTGCATTCAGCATCATTGCTGGTGTTGTGTGAGTCTGAAGAGGATTTTATAGATTGGTATCGAATATATGGGCTAATATTAGACTTATGGACTTGATCTCGACTGGGCTGGGATATTTCCTCAATATTCAATTGCTCTTGTATATAAAGCTCTTTCTTATACACATATGAGTGTCTATCTATTTGTTTCTCTAGTCAACCTGGACTAGCACAAAGGGAATATAATTTACAGAATGGTCAACTTTTTTGACTGTAGAATTTTTTACTTGCTAGAGTATCATATGGACCCATCAAGGCAATGTACTTTTGTCAAAGGGTTTTCTGAACTAATAAATAATGAAGAGCAGAAAGGAGACCCTGATTCAATGTAGCACCTGAGTTGCCTCAACTTACCCTGGTAACCCACCCAGACTAGGCTAAACATGGGGAAAAGAAGAAGGAGTGATATTTGAGACTCCAAGGAATAATTCTTCATGTTTCTTCCCTAACCAGCCTCAAGCTTTTTTTTTTTCCAAGCTTTTTTTAATAGAAAAAGGTCAAGTTAAAATTAAGCATCAATAATTATCAAAAGGTCTTGGTTTATCATTTAATCACTTCATTGATGACTTGTCCCTTTCATCATAAAACAAGAAGGAGATTAAAGAACTATAGAATTCAGTTTAGGGTCATCTACTTCAATCCGTTTTGGTGAAAACCCTTTGACCAAAGCACATTGCCTTGATGGGTCCATATGATACTCTAGCAAGTAAAAAATTCTATAGTCAAAAAAGTTGACCATTCTGTAAATTATATTCCCTTTGTGCTAGTCCAGGTTGACTAGAGAAACAAATAGATAGACACTCATATGTGTATAAGAAAGAGCTTTATATACAAGAGCAATTGAATATTGAGGAAATATCCCAGCCCAGTCGAGATCAAGTCCATAAGTCTAATTTGACTGGGTTGTGTACTTCAAAATGTCAGCAGAAGTGTCAATTTGTACATTTACAAGCACAGCTTGTTTGGATACAATGAATACTGTATAAAGTGTTGCCACAAGTAGAGTTGTGTCAACTATCTGAGCTGAGCTTCTCCACACATCTTTGAGTAATCTTTTAGTGAAGTCCTAACATCTCATTGTTTCCATCAACTGCCTTTCAAGTCATTGATTTAAGAGGCCTCTTGGAGCACCTTTTCCCTCTTTTAAGTGTTTGGTAGGTGAGATCATCCCGAGTCAAAAGTACAGAGGCGTTGGAAAAGGTAAAGGAGTGCAAATTACCTTGCAAGGTGTTAACAATGGCAAAAAGATACAAGAAGAGGATCCTTACAGGTCCCCAGGCAAAAAAGGCAAACCCCCACGTGAGGCCAAGTAAGAAAGTCAGGCTTGTTGTGCCTTTTAGGTCGTGCAGGATGATTTTCCGTCGAGTCTTCTGGCTTTGGACTTTCATAGAATTCAGTTGAATAAGAACAGTGCAGAACATGGAGAGATTCGTGATAAATATGAGGCAAAAATAAGCCACAACTGAGATGTAAAAGATAAAATCGTCTTTAATCCAACAACTGTAAGAGACAAAGTAAAAGAGACTATTGTGAGATAGAGAAACATAAACTCGTACTTTTTAGTGAGACTTGGAAGATCGCCTACTCAGTTACATTTGTCTGGAGGACACCTAGACCCAGACAGATAAACTGATAAACTACAGTTCATTCAAGCAGCAAAGGAACTTACCCTGAACTAGGACTCAGACCAGTTCAGTGAACTCTGGTCTTCTGAGTCCTAATCCAGGGTTCTTTCCAATGTTAAGCCAGACATTTTAGAGGATATTTCAACCCCACATAAGCAGAAACTTCTCAGTCCCAATTTCCTAAGAGAATATTCTCTTTCTCAGCATCAGGGCAGAAAAAGAATGTATTTCTCCCAAAAGTGGTTCCTCCAACATTTCACCTGAGCTTTTATTTGCAGAGTAATTTCTGCTTTGCAAGATAAATATCACAGTAAAAGGCTATCAATAATGTATGGCTTTTCTGAATCCTATATCAAACAATAATGAAATTATGAGAGTTAATGGGAATGCAACAAAAAAAGAACATTTCTAAGTTGTACTGTTTCAAAATATGACGCACATTTAAAACTTTCCACCACAGCTACTGCTTTGGGCTCCAAAAGACAACACTGGTCACTGGCTTGATTAAAGAATATGTAGTGGTTCCCATGGCCTTCATTTTAATAACATTTTCAACACTAGAGGCACTCTTACTGATGGCCTATTTAATTTGGTTTCAATTTAGCCAAGACCTTGTTATTGGACCCAGGAAATCCCTTTTGGCCATCTTATTCATGTGGGTGTGGATAGTTTCATGCATATGTGAGTTTGTGTGTATATTGAGGAGTAAAAATAGCAATTCACTTCTGTAATAAAATAAAATACTTAGGGTCCCTTGAATATCATATTCAGCCTTTTATTTTTTTAATTAAAAAAATCATTTTATTGAGGCTCATACAACTCTTACTCAGCCTTTTAGGTTACTTAAAAACAAAGAAACAAACAAACCCCTTAAACAAGACAGTTGTGTATGTCTGGACATCGAATCATCTCCAAGATATTCTGGTAGAAGAGCGCAAGGTGCCAAACAGTATCTATCATTTGAGTACCAAAGCGAGGAAAAGAATATCTATACAAATGTGAGTATCTAATAATAAACAATTTCTGGAAGAACACCCAAGAATTTGGAGAGAGAAATAAGGTAGGTACAAATGATGGGTGGGGGGTTGTTTTATTGATTGTCATAGTTTTCTTCTTTTAAATTTTGGACCATGCACATGTATTATCCTCTTCAAAAAATAATTATGTCTTAAAATCTCTTAGAAAACGCTACCGTATATACTCAAGTATAAGTCAACCCGAATATCAGCCGAGGCACCTAATTTTACCCAAAAAACTGCATTAAAATGGGCTGAAAAACCTCAGCTTATACACGAGTCTATATGGTACCTCTTACTACCAATTCATATATAAAATGGGTTTGGAGGAGGCAGAAGGGGAGAATTGGTTTTGTCTTGCTTTTGCTTTTGATCTTTGAAAAAGAATAACTATTTTATAGCTATCGGGGACTCTTTCATGACAAAACAGGTAAGTAGGGAGGATGGAAGTGGACATTGAAAAGGAAAGGAAGCAGACTTCCGGGAAGATGGCGACGGAGTGACACGTACCAGAGGGACTCCGCAGAATCCAGCCCAGGAGAGCTGCTTAGAGGGAACTTTAACACAACTAGAACACAGGAGGAGCATCATAAAGATAAGTAGGCACAGACCCACGGGGTTTTGAGGGGCTTGGGGCTTTTGGCTTACCTCAGTGGAAGCCGGCTGGGGCTTGACCTTGGCCCAGTTACTGTCGCTGCTGGAGCCGGGACCATTTGGAGCCCGTAGGGGGATTTGGTTCCAACACAGCCACAGTTTACCCCCGACAGCCTCAGGGCAGGAATTGGACCCTTGGGGCTCCACGGGAGGGGACCCGGGTTCAGTTAATTTGTAGGTTTTTGTTACATCTCTGCTCTCTGTTCACCCACAGTCTGGGAGGCCTGTGCAGGAGGTTTTCTCGGCATAGCCACAGCTTGCCACCGCTGCCTCCAGGCGGGGACTAAACCCTCGCAATTCCACAGGCAGGGATCTGCGATAGATTCGGGGTCCAGCTACACTGTGCCTCTGTTTACATCTCTGCCCTCTGTCCGACACCACACCCCACCCCCACGGTCGTTGAGGGCTGCTCAGGGGCTTTTTCTCAGCTCAAACTGCGGCTTGCCACCGCTGCTCCAGAGTAGGGACTAAACTCTCGAGACTCCACTGACGGAGAGTGGGACTCACAGCTACATAGTTACTTTTCTTTCCCTCTCTCCCCTATATCCCCTCCCCCCAGTTTAAACGGTCTTACTCTTTAATTTTTTTTTCTTTCCACTCTGTCTCTTTCCTGTTCTCTCATAATCCACTGCTGAACCTGAACTCCAGACCACCTCCAGTAGCCTAGGGCACTTACGCCTGTACCACATCCAGCTAGCTGAGCCCCACCCTGGGTAGCTAGCCCCACCCTGTGTCGCTAGCCCAAGACTAGGGAAAGCCCTGCTTCCCCTCCAGAGGATACCCCGCCCAACCACTCACCTGGGAATTCCTGCCTGTGTACCTGGGGGCATAAGGCAGCTCGGCCAACACTCATCACCATTCCAAGCTGTTGCAGGAACCTATGCCCAACCTCCACAACACCAAAGCAGACCGTCGCCCACCAGCCTTGTGGGACACTCCCCTGATAGGGAAGCCACAGGAAGATTAAGGGTAGGTTAATGCCATAGTAATACTTAGCTGTAGGCAGTTCGAAGAAGCATTCCTACAAGTCTCCTAGAGAGAGCCAGTGCTCTTAGACTCCCTAGAAAATGGCACCTGGCTCCTCTAAAACAATGCAACTCAAACAGCCATCAGCTCCAACCATCTCAACAAAAAAACAGGAGAAACAAAAAGCAATGGCAGAAGACATCCCAAACATAACAAAATACATAGAAGAAGCAGACATTGAGCTGCCACAGAAAGAAATTTTCAGAATGCTGCTTGGAGTCATACAGAAAAAGGGTGAAATGATAGAGGAGATAAAGGCCATACACCAAAGAGAAATACAAGACCTTAGGGAGGAGATAACAAAAACCAATAACAGAAACACAGAGCTTGAGAATTGACAGGAGGAATCAGAGAAGAGCATCAGTGACTTGGAGGACAGCCAAGCAGACTTCAACAAACGCAAACCAGAATCTAATAAGATCATCAGAGAAGCTGAAGAAAATCTAAGAGCTATGTCTGATGCTATGAAGC